GAAGGTTGCATGGTTTAACAATTTTATTAAAAAAAAAATTTTTTTTATAAAATTCTAGGAAGCATTCAATATTGATTAGGGTGTATGCACCAGTTTTGGCCACTTTAAGGAATTTCCGACTTTTAGGTCAATTTTTTTTTGTATGTTTATTATAAAAAAAAGGGTGAGATACCAAAACTTGTTAATAGATTAATTATCATTCTTAGTTTCAAAATTTCTTGTTTTTAAGGATTAAAAAAAAAATTGTGTAATATATTAATAATATAATAAAGTAATAAATAAATAAAAATGTCAATTTCGACAGTCTTGGCCACTTTTGCTCCATTTATGGCCACCGTTTGGCACTATTTTTTTTTGGCCAGTTTCAAAAACTAAATAAAACTCATGCAGGCATGAAATAAAAGCAAATAGTAATTATTATTTCATAGAAAGTAGTAAACTTAATAATATTATGATACATGATATTTTTTTTTGTAAACGAATATTATTGTAATTATTCAAAAAAAAAAAACAATTATTTGTACTCACATTTTTCAAGTTACTATAGAATGTAGTAGGCTTTAGCATATTTTAATTATTTTATATTTCAGTAAATTTTCAAATAAATATCCAGTAAATAAGTGATACTTTTAATCTATTACCTCTTCTTTACTTTTGAAAGACAATTTTCTTTTAATTCATTTATAACATTTGTTTTTGGTTATTGACATTTGTTTATATAAACATATAAAATTGTATTTTATTTTAGTACTATTATAATTATAATAATGATTATTATAATTTATAATTAAATGAATGTGATGTGTATCACATTTGATAATAAAAATACTAATTTAGTATAAATCAGGAAATGTCAATAAGCTTTTCAAGAGGGTGGCCAAAGCTAGTCTAACGTCATATCCAGTTTTGGCCATGTATGGCCAAACCTGGATAAATGAAAAAAAAAAAACTGTTCCTATTTTGGACACCTTATTTTTTTTTAAAGGGTTTAAACAACATTTTTGTATGTAATGAATAATTTATACGACTATTATAATTAACCTATAAATTTATATTATTATTATTATCTTTAAAACGATATTAGCAATTACGTTTTGTGCACTCTCTTGCGGTTTACTTTTAGCAACTGGCCGTTTGTCAACACCTCCTTCACATTATTTTATTTTCATAAATAATTATTAAAAAAAAAAAAAATTTTTTTAAAAAGGTTTGTCAAGAATATTAATTGTGAAGTAAAGTTAAAAAAAAAATATAAAGTAAAGGTAACAGAATATTATTCAAATTAATAAAAGTATGTGGTTGGCCAAAACCGGTTGCATGGCCAAGAACGGTGCATCTGCCCTACTTTTGTATTTAAATAAATGATTTCTCGCAAATAAAAAAAAAAAAGAAATTTAAATTAATTTACTTTTTTTTGTATTTTTTTTTAAAAAAAAAAAAGGGGGTTCAATCGAATAATAATTGGTGTTATTGATTCGGAGTGGAATTTTAGTCAAAGATTCTGGAAAATGTAAATTGAATTGAAACGATATAAATAATTTTGAGAAAATTACAGTAACGGCACTACTGTGGTATTAGAATAATCATTTTGCAAATCGGTCATCTTTATGTTTTGTAATAATGCTCTTATGAGTTGTTCAGTTTAAAAGGATTTGAGTTTGAAAAAATTTAAACATCCTAATTCAAAAAAAAAAGAGAAGGAGAAAATTATTTTTTTTGAAATATTTATTTCAAGTGAAACTTTTAATGTTTTCAAAATTGTATTTGGAAATCGGGGAACAGTCAAGGAAAAAAATGAAATAAAACATTCATGGTAACTAAATAAGATAAATTATATTTCCACACTTATTAAACTAATTCTTATGGTCCCTATTCCTGAATTTTGAGTCCCCTATTTTTCTTAAAACACTCTGTAGGGGCACTATGAAGCCTGTAAGTTATTAGTTGAAAAGTTTCTAGATTTATTTTTTTTAATTAACAATTTCAATTAACAATTAAACGAATTTCAACACTCTTTTAATAATTGTCAAATTTACGTAAAATGTTTCAAACAAGCTATCGTTTCAACAATATGAGGCATGAATCCTGTAAACAAATGTTCCTAACCTCACTAACTCAGGTGCTTAACCATAGTAAAATCAATTTTTATCATAATAAACTACAGTATAACAGGGAAAGAACTAAATATAGTATGGGTGAGCGTTGTTCACCGAAAAGTGAGTATACAGAATTGAAAATAAACATAAGTACAATATGAATTGGTCAACAACATGTTGTTCAAGAAGTTCTTATAATTCATTGTTTTCAAAATAATTTTTTTTATTCAATAAAAAAAAAAAGAGAGATTTTACTATGAATAATAATTCCACAAATTTCGCTGACTCAGTTCTTGAAAGTATTCCTATCCTGTTTCTAATACTATCAAATAGTACGTAAAATTTTATTCTATCCTAATTAATGGCTTAACTTAAGCTCATTAGATTTATTTATTAAAGTTAAGCGTAAGTTCAAATTTCTTAAGATCCAGGTCTAAAAATTGTTTTGTTGAAATGAATGCTAAATAGAAATGTTGCATTAAATTCCTGATATAAAAGTGACCCTTAAGATCAAAAGATCTCTAATTAAAATTTAAAATTTATTAATATCTAATTCTCTTGGGTCCAGATTAATCCAGGTTTCGAATAGCCTGGCCCCGTTTTCGGAGTCGATCTCTTCTAAGTTTTCTTCTCTCTTCTCTTCCTGACGCGTGACCAATTCGCCCAGTTTCCTCCCAGGCCTCGTTTAATCCAACATCATGACTCTAAAAAAAAAAATGATTATAATAAGGTCAATAAGGGTTGAATGGGATAAACAGAGGCAGGGATAAATCGAAACAATGGTTATCCCATTTCAAAAAAAAAAATTATATATAGAGGATTCCTTTTGCTAAATTTTTTTTACAGTGATTCTCCACAAAGTGAAAAACTTTTAAATATTGTGACGTATGATTTTAACTAATTTTAATTTAGTGTAAAAGTTCTGGTTTACGTCAGACAAAATCCGACGCTTTCAACAAAAATAATAATGAGAATTTAAATAAATAAATCTCGCCGTCAGGCGCCAATTAATTTTAAAGCTAAATTAATAAACTTTTACTCGGCTCGACTAACAACAAATTCAACTCCTCTGAGTTTACTCTCTCACTCAGAGGGAATTCTGCTCGAATGATTGGCAAGCAGAAAATGCCAACGACGAGACACGACTGGCACAATATCGGCAAAAACGACTCACCCACGGTGATGACTCCCTTTTCGGCTTCCTGGTTTCCCTCCTTTCTCTCGGCTTTTCGGCGTTGTTTTCTCGAAAGATGTTCGGCTTAATCCAAGGAAAAAAAAGGGAGGTTGACACAAAAGAAAAACTATTATTTCACTCTCAATTTACAAGTCTCACACTTATGAATTTTATTACTCCTTTTACTCGAAGTATACTACTCTACTCTACACTAAGTTCGACACACTCAATTGTTATTTCACTACAGGAAAACGATTTTATTCACTCGGTGAAAACTTCGACAGTATTGCACGGCGGAAATCAAAATCATTATGGCGGCGAAAGTATTAGGCACCTGTTGTCTCGGCATTTCTCCGCACATGGTTCATCCTCTTCTTCTCGTTCTCCGAAAATAGTACTGGCCCCGCCATCTATCACTTTCTCCGGTAGCCAGCCGCGCGACCCACTTTCGTTACTTCTAGTAGGTCAGCCGGCGGTACTGGCTTTCTCTAATTACCATGATAACTGGGCCTGTTGATTCGGGGCTTTTTCCGACGGATGGCGTGACGATTCAGAATTTTCGGCAGTTAAATGACAAGATCGAAAATTCACTTCGTCACAATCCCCTCCCCATGACCGGTACTATTTTATATAGGACTGTCATCATCTGATGATCCTGAAGACTGGCTTTTCTAGTTTGTTCGGCTCTCCTCTTTTCTTATTCGGCTCTCCTCCTTTCTCGTTCGGCTCTACTCCTTTCTCATTCGGCTCTCCTCCTTTCTCGTTCGGCTCTTCTCCTTTCTCGTTCGGCTCTCCTCTTTTCTCGTTCGGCTCTCCTCCTTTCTCGTTCGGCTCTCCTCCTTTCTCGTTCGGCTCTATTTCTTTCTCGTTCGGCTCTCCTCCTTTCTCGTTCGGCTCTATTTGCTTTCCTATTCTTTCTTTTTCTTTGCCTTCCTCTCCTCCAACAATTGTCTAATGGCCAAGTCGACCGTTGACGCTGGGAGACCGGCTAGAGCCTTTGTGATGGCCATGATTTTCTCCACTAGGTCCTCGTCTTCCTTTCCTTCCACACTCGTTGACTGAGACTTTGGGCCTTCTGGTTCATTGCCCTCCTTTGGCTCTAACAGTTCCTTTTCCCCCATTACTGGTTCTTGGGTGTCTCCTTCCACCAGTTTGTCATCCTCGTTCGGCATGTTGGCCTCGTTTGTTGACTCGATGTCTTCTCCTTCTGGCTCATCGGTCCCAATATCCTCTACATCTTCTTCCACGTAATAGGGGATACCCTTAAAACGGCAGTATGCTTCCGCGCATCTTGGGCAGTCCGTCATTTCGGTGTTTCGACGTCCACAGTTTCGGCAATAGATATGAAGAATAGGGTATTTGCAATCCGCCGCCCTATGTCCTCGCCTCCAGCAGTTAAAGCAACAATAGGGGGGTGGGTCTAAACCTTCGATTGTTGGGATCTCCTTCAAACCACTAAAGATGACCCCATTTTTCCTCGGTTTCCAACCACTGGTGTCTTCTTGACTATTTTCTCCACGTCTTTCTCTTCTGGGCTCCTTGCGCCTTGCGCCGGTCTCCTCGACGCGCCTGACCGGTGGTCCAGGATGGGGCGAGTGTGATCGTTGTGCCCTCTGCACAGGCTCCCCACTCTCCATGTCTTCCTTTCGGAGCACCGGGCGCTTTCGTTCTTCAATGGCTCTTCGTTGACTGGCCCGCATTCTTTCCAACGACACAGACGTTAGTGGCTCTTAGAGACGTAGGAAACGGTCTAATTCAAACTCAGCCAACCGGCTCTCATACTCCTCGTTGCTTTCACCTGGTCGTCTATCGGCTGGCCAGCGATAAGGCACCACTATCTCTGCGCCATCTGGTCTACACCCTTTTATTGGTTTCTCAGTGGCTTTTTCTAGGGCACTCAAGTCGGCCCAGTCACTCGACATGGTTATTGGTTCGAGTAGGCCTCCTACTGCTCCTTCTTCGCTTTCTGCTTCGGCTCTCCTCGGTCTAATTTCCTCTCTCGGCTCACCCTCTTCCACGATTTGTTGTGCCCTTAGTGGTTCTTGATTTACCTCCTCAGTAATTGGGAACGACAAGTATGAGGGTCTTTCCAATTGATGTCCTTCGATGGCAAATTCGGGGAAAGGGCGGTGTCTGGATTGAGGACGTCCTCGTCTCTCCATCCTGGCGCTTTCCTTTCCCAGTTCCTCCAATTTTCGACCACCTCTTTCTCTGGAACGACGGCTTCCTTGCGGCATATATGGCATGACTCTCCTCTCTTTCTCTCTTTCAGCACGACCTTTCCACTTTCGGCTCTCCTTTCGATCTAAAAACGAATTTAATTATGCAAAAAGGGACATACTATTTTCCACATTTTAGACAGGTAAGTAAGGTTTCAGGTCTGTTATGTGGACTTTAGGTACTCGGCGGCTCTGTTCATCTCGTAAGATGAAAACAGTTGGCGATAGGACCTCAATGATCTCATATGGACCTTCGTATTTCGGCGCTAATTTGGTCGCGAACTTTTGTGCCCCACTGGACAATTTATGGCTTTTTCGCAACACTAAGTCTCCTACTTTGAAAGTTACGTCTCTCCTACCTTTGTCGTAATACTTGGTTTGTCTCGCCCGTTCTTTATCAATATGTCTGGCTACCATGTCCCTTAACGCGTCTAATCTCTTAATTCGGTCTACCCAGTTCTCCGGCTCTATCCTAACTACTTCTCTCCTTTTCTCTATTTCTCTTCGCAGGCTCTTTACTGGTTTCGGGTGCCTTCCATAGTTCAGGAACGCTGGAGATGTTTTCGTTGCCGCTTGGGTGGCTGTGTTCACGGCGTGGCGGAACTCGTGCACATGAAGATCCCAGTTCCTATGATCAGTACCAATGAAAGTGGAGATCATCGTTTTAAGGGTCCTGTTGCTTCTTTCGACTGGGTTGGCTTGTGGATGGTAAGGAGGGGTCGTAATGTGTTTGACTCCATATTCCTCAAGGGTGGACTTTAGAAATTTGTTGTCAAACTCCTTACCGTTGTCAGTCAATAAGTACTCTGGCGTTTCCCATCTGAATAGGACCAACTCTTCGAGTGCTTTGGCTACCGACTTCCCATCAGCTGACCTCAGTGGCTTCACCTCAATCCACCTCGAGAACAAGTCCTGGAACACCACCAAGTACTTGCACTGGCTCTTACTCGGTGGAAACTCCATCGTATCGGCAGCTACTACGGCCCACGGTCTCTCGACGATCCTCTGGCCCATCAGTCCGACTGGTCCAGTTTGAGATACTTTATGCAGTTGACACTGGAGGCAATGCGTCACATAGTGGTGTATATCGTTCCATATGCCTGGCCAATAGTATTCTCGTGCTATCCGATCGTAAGTTTTCTCAATCCCTAAGTGTCCGGCTGATGCTTGGGCGTGGCCATCTTCCATCACTCGGGCTCTGTACTCTTCTGGCACCACCAGTTTCCAGCCATCCTCATCTCCGTTTATCGGCAGTAAAAGTGGGTCACTTCTGTGACGATATAGGTTCTCGTTCTCAACGATCCACCCTGGGAACCTCTGAGGGTGTTGGCTCACCAACTCTCGGCGTTTGAGGTACCACTGATCCTCAATGGATTCAAACGCGGCTATTGACTCTTCTTCTTCCTCCTGTAACCTGGACAATGCATCTGGGACATGATGTTGTGCACCTCTTCTGTGAACTATGTCGAAGTCCCACTGTTGCATTTCTAGGGCCCATCTGGCTAATCGGCCTGTAGGATCTTTCAAGTTCCTGAGCCATTTTAGGGCACTGTGGTCCGTGATCACATGGAATTTGTACCCCTCGATGTACGGCCTGAACTTTTTGATCGACCACAGTAATGACAGACACTCCTTTTCTGTCACACTATAGTTTTTCTCTGGCTCCGTTAAGACTCGGCTGATGTAGACTATCGGATGCTCTCCGTCTTCAAACTCTTGCGTTAGTACGGCTCCAATGGCATAGTTGCTGGCGTCACACTGAATTGTGAACTTCTTCGTGAAGTCAGGTCGGGCTAAGACTGGCGCAGATGTCAGCTTCTGTTTGAGCTGTTCAAAAGCTTCTTGTTGCTCTTCCTCCCACTCCCACGTTCGGCCTTTGTGTAGCAACTTCAGCAATGGTATTTTAATTTCGCTGTCGTTTGGAATAAAACGGGAATACCACCCGACCATGCCTAAGAAACGTCTGAGTTGTCTTACGTTCTTCGGCTCTGGATAGTTTCTCACCGGCTCTGTTTTATTCGGATCTGGCCTCAGACCCTCTCTGTCCAATAAGTAACCCAGATAAATTACTTCGGAACACCCGAACTCACACTTATCTGGGTTCACTATTAACTTCGCTTTGTTCAACTCCTTGAGGACGAACTCTAACCACTTAGCATGTTCTTCAAAAGTGTCTGTGACTACTATGATGTCGTCCAGGTACCCAAAGACATGCGGCTCTACTTTCGGCCCAAGCAATGCGTCGATTAGACGTTGGAACGTCATCGGCGCGTTCATAAGTCCAAATGGCATTCGGCGAAACTGCCATAGTCCTGACCCAGGTATGGCGAAAGCAGTGTATTTCTTGCTCTCTTCGGCCATTGGTATTTGGTGATATGCCAGTTTGAGATCTACCTTCGACAAATATCTGGCTTTTCGGAGCTTGTCTAAAATATAATCAATGGATGGCAATGGATACCCATCTTTGATTGTAACTTTGTTGACATCTCTATAGTCGTTGCACTGTCGAAAATCGTTCTCTCCTCTTCTCGTGATTACTGGCGCACTTCTCCAACGGCTGGCTGATGGCTCAATGATCCCAAGCTTGTACAACTTTGCGGCATTACCTTGGGCCCAAGTCAACATGGCTGGCGACATCCGTCTTATTCCATGTTGTACTGGCGTTTCGTCCGTAACACGTATATGATGTTCCGTCAGGTCTGTCATTCCGTGTTCTTCCGATTCTGGCAACACCCACTTGTCTACAATGGCCTGGAGGATGCTCTTCTGCTCGTCGTTAAGCGCAGAAATACCGGCACATTCGGCGAATATTAAATTTTCGTTCTCGTCTTTTTCTTTCGGCCCAAACTCGTGCCATTCTCCATTGAATACTCTCCATACTCCTTCTTTCAGCTTCACTTCCATGTCCCAGGCCTTACAGAAGTCGATGCCCAAGATGATGTCTTGTGTCAAAGTCTTCATGACTTTTACTGCGAATTTCTGGGCAAATCCGTCGACTACAATGTTAAGGTCCAGAAGTCCGGCTGTTTCGGTGATACCTCCTGTTGCACTCCTCACAACTGTACCACACGGCTGAATTCGGCTTTTGAAAGGCTCTGCTACTCTGGTGGTAATTACTGAAATCATAGCACCAGGATCGAAAAGTGCCTCGTAATGATGGTCGCCGATAGACATGTCGAAGAAGTATCTGTTCTCCGTCCTAGATCCGTCGATGTCCTCCTCATTACTTAGGTTCGGGTCAGCTGTGACTCTCACAGCCTCTCCCCTCCCCTGGACTATAGGTACCGGGATCTCATCCGTACCTTTTGTCCCACACTCTTTGGCCATCTTCTCTGCTTTGTTTCGGTGGAGTGAGCTCTCCTCACTTGATCGCTCTTGTTTAAATTCTGGCACGAATTTGAACGCGTTGTCCTCTGTCAAATCGTCCCTACCTATGACTGGCTCTAACTTTTTCTTAACTTTCATTTCTATTTCTAATTCTACTTCTCTCTCAGTTTTTACCCAACTGTCTCTCCAGTTGGCGTCTGTAGGCTGGAGTCAGGCCTTTGTAAGCCACCTTGATTTGTTGTTTCTGGCTCAAAGGTCGTTTCATATGACCTAATATTAGTCGGAAACTCGTCAGGTATGGGGAAATTTTCTCTCCCTTGCCCTGGGTCCTGGCTTTTAATTCGTCTATAACATCATCATCGTCGACCACAACCAAGTACTCATTTTTAAAGGCTCTTTGGAATGACCTCCAAGAACTTATTTCCCGGCGCAGCGACCTGAACCAACTACTGGCGGATTTCTGTAAGATTATTGGCAGGGCTTGTATTATCTCTTGATCTGAGAAACCTGAATTGTCTCTACAGTCTTCCAGTCTCTCCAGAAATTCTTCGGCATTGTCTTCATCTCCAAAGAATTTTAGATCCCAGTCCTTAAGGGTTCTGATCACCTTTGACCTTCGTCCGGGCTTGAATTTTTCGCTTTCTCCTCCACTACTTAGACGTTGACTCAGATCACTCTCAGATCCGGACTCACTCGAAGAGTCATCTAGGAACGATCTTCGGCTCTCCTTTGAGGCTTTCTTCGGCTTTCGTGTTTTTCTCTCTTTTTGTTCGCTTTTTATACTCATTCGGTTTTTGCTTCTACTCGCACAACTACAATTTTCACTTTCGCGGCTCTCCTCGCTATTATCATACTCGATTCGTCGCTCTACCTTGTCTCTTTCTCCCCTTCTACTACTCGCGCTCTCATTATTTTCAAATTCCGTAATCGGCTCTCCATGTTTCGGCACTCTACGATGAGTGACACCAACGTCACTCACACTATTTCGGCTTGAATGGCTTCTCGGGGCAGGTGTGGGCCTCACTCTTTCATTAGTGTTATGTGAGTGTGAGGTCTCGGCTACGGCGGTTTTTCTTTGAGGGGATACTAATCTCGATTGCTGGTGGTGAATTAGATGGTGCCCCTCGGTAACCTCGGCCCTACACTGGCTTTGTCGTAGCTCCCACCCCCCTCCCGAATACTGGCGATCCATTTTCTCAGCGTACTCCATGATTTTCTTTATTTCGGGTGACAAACCCAAACGCGCGACTGAATCACGAAGGCTCTGGACTACTGGGGCCATTGTGGCCGACTGGATAGTATGGGGTGATGTCATAATAGTGATCGTTGTCATACTCATTTGAGCACTCGTTGTGGTGGGGGAAAATGTCGTCATGCTTGCTGTTGTCATGACTGGGGGTGGGGGTGTAAAATTAGGGGTGGACACAACGGTGGTCGGACTAAGTCTACTTTGCGATGCTCCATTACTCGTTCCACTTTCCCCACTCCTTAGCGTTTTCCTGGCACTCATACGCTCAATGATTTGACTTGCCCCACTATCGGATTCTTCATCGTCCGCAGATGATATTCGGCCGGCTCTCCGACGTGTTACATTTGGAAACGGGCTATTGCCCGGCTCAGAGAAAGCTTCCAATAAAAAGATTTTATCAGAATTCCCAAGATCGTACCTGTCACTGAATGGTACGTCAGTGCCGTCCGTCATGGCTAATCTCATCTCGCCTCGCAATAGTCTCTCTCTAAGAACTTGCAACGACCCACTAATACATAATTGGTACCGTAATAAGTTCGTCACTATCTGACCGACTGGCATTTCACTAATGATTTCCCACGTTTGGCTTACTTGTGGGTTTTGAATTAGTACTCTCATTCGTCTTTTGTAATCCTCCATCTCACTAATTGCCTTTGCCATTTCAAGAAAAAAAATTTTTAAGGAAATTTCTAAGTTCGAAAATCTTTAAATTTTCAGGGGGGTGCACAGTTAGTACATACAGCACTGTGCTGTTTCAAAACAAGGACGTGACTACTCAACGAGGGCCCCCTTTTGAAATTTTTAATTTTCTGGCGGACTGGTGGCTCGACTCTCCCTCTGTCTCTTCTTCTCGTCCTCTCTCTCTCTCTCTCTGTGTGTAGCCGTTATTACTACTACTACTAGGCCACTCTTTCCTGGCGTGCGCAACTTTCTCTCGGCTGTCGAAAATTTAAATATCCCGGCGCGTCGTTTCTCTCGACCGTTCGGCGCACTATTTACAGTCACGTGACTAATTCGAATTTTTATTTCCGGTTAAACATGTGCTCGACATAAAATTTTTGGAAAAGTTTTTTTTTTTTTTTTTTGATTTTGCACAAGTTTGTTGGGAATTTTAATCGGATTTTTCTCGCAGAACTGGCTTTCGACAAACAAAAAAATTTTTTAAATTGTTGGATTCAATTTTTATCACGGCAGGAAATTTTTACAGTCTTAAAAGAAAAGAAATTTTCAAATTTAATGGCAAAGGCACTCTACAATTTTATTTTACGCAGTTTTCGACAATAATTTACTCATAATTTATGAATAAATAACTTTCGGCATTGGCAAAATAAATCGGCAAACAATTCGGCAATTGAATTTTTGAAATTTCTTGGCAAAAAAAAAAATTAAATTGGCTCAAAAAAAAATATATAAAATTCAAGAATTTCGGCTTTTGGCTATTGAAATTTGAACTTTCGGCTTTTGGCAAGAACTTGTCGGCTTTGACAATTTTAATGTTCAGAATTCTGGCAAAATTTTGGTACAACACAATGTCAAATTTATGTTTATAGTCGTGTCTCGGTTCGAGCCTGGCCCCACGTTGGGCGCCAAATTTTGTGACGTATGATTTTAACTAATTTTAATTTAGTGTAAAAGTTCTGCTTTACGTCAGACAAAATCCGACGCTTTCAACAAAAATAATAATGAGAATTTAAATAAATAAATCTCGCCGTCAGGCGCCAATTAATTTTAAAGCTAAATTAATAAACTTTTACTCGGCTCGACTAACAACAAATTCAACTCCTCTGAGTTTACTCTCTCACTCAGAGGGAATTCTGCTCGAATGATTGGCAAGCAGAAAATGCCAACGACGAGACACGACTGGCACAATATCGGCAAAAACGACTCACCCACGGTGATGACTCCCTTTTCGGCTTCCTGGTTTCCCTCCTTTCTCTCGGCTTTTCGGCGTTGTTTTCTCGAAAGATGTTCGGCTTAATCCAAGGAAAAAAAAGGGAGGTTGACACAAAAGAAAAACTATTATTTCACTCTCAATTTACAAGTCTCACACTTATGAATTTTATTACTCCTTTTACTCGAAGTATACTACTCTACTCTACACTAAGTTCGACACACTCAATTGTTATTTCACTACAGGAAAACGATTTTATTCACTCGGTGAAAACTTCGACAGTATTGCACGGCGGAAATCAAAATCATTATGGCGGCGAAAGTATTAGGCACCTGTTGTCTCGGCATTTCTCCGCACATGGTTCATCCTCTTCTTCTCGTTCTCCGAAAATAGTACTGGCCCCGCCATCTATCACTTTCTCCGGTAGCCAGCCGCGCGACCCACTTTCGTTACTTCTAGTAGGTCAGCCGGCGGTACTGGCTTTCTCTAATTACCATGATAACTGGGCCTGTTGATTCGGGGCTTTTTCCGACGGATGGCGTGACGATTCAGAATTTTCGGCAGTTAAATGACAAGATCGAAAATTCACTTCGTCACAATATGTTAAAATTCTATTTACTTTGTAATAAACAGGTGATTTTACTGTTGAAAAAAAAAAAGGGGGATCATTTTCAACCTAAGAATAAAAGCTAACTCACCAATTGCCAGCGTCCAAACACCCCGGGCTGTTCCCCTTCGGCCCTCAAAAACGCCTGAATAAAGGAAAGCCTCAGGTTTTTCCAGAGAGGTTGAATCCCTATTTCGGGAGGACAAACCTGTGAGAATTCCTTTAGCGTGCTAAAAGAAAGAAGGAAAAAGGAGGATATGTTAACCAATAATTTTATTATTTTATTCTCTTGTCAAGAGAAAAGAAAAAAAAAAGAAAAATTTTTTTTCTTTACTTACGCCAAATTGAGTCCATTTTCGGATTCTCTTCCCCCAATGACAACTGGAAGTTTTTCCGGCGCCATTTTTACGGCATCAGGAGATACGAATCGAGTCTAAAAGAAAAAGAAATCTTTTAATAATTGTTCCTCGTTTCCAGGCTAACTAATTGTTAAAAACTATAAGCATCACACATTTAAATTATGACCACCCCGATCTGTCTTTATGCTACTTTCCATTAAAATCGGTCTGTCCTTGGAGATGCCATCAAAATTGGACATTCCAGGTGGCGTCACATGCGTCACTCCCCAGAAAAGGAGTAATTTGAATAAATATAATGTAAAAAAAAAAAAAAACTAATTGATATTAATAAAAAATACGATTTTTTTAAAAATTTATTTTCTAAGAAAAGAAATTTTATTTATTTTTATTTACTTTATTTATTATTCAAAAATTAATTTTATAAATTTCGTATCACTTTTGTTCTAATTAGTTCAAATTTTTAATAATTCTTATTTGTTTTGTAATAATATTATTGCAAAAAAAATTTTTTAAATTGATTTATTCTTCACTATTTTATAGGATGTGAAATTTTTTTTTTGACAAATTTAATAAAAATTATATTTTGTTTAATTATTGTTAGAAATAGAAAGAATGTAAAATTAAATTTAACATTTTCTTTTCTAAATCTGTTACGTTGGACTTTTTTTTTATATAAAATTCTCTGACAAACTATAAATAGATTTTAGGTATAGAAGATCATTCAATTTTTTTTAATGAAATATAATTAATAAGTCCTAAAATAAATATTTCTATTTTTTTTCGCACAAAATAATGTGTTTTAAAAAAAAAAAAATTTCCAAAATCCCGGTCAAGATCAAATTCACTGTCATTTCCCGGTCCAGCGGCCACCCTGATGAAGTTCAATTATTTCTGGAGGTTTTGATGAAGTTCTTGGAAAAATTTGAATTGTTTTCAAGACTTTCCCAATTTAATCACAATTTCACAGAGACTCAATTAGTTTTAACACAATTTTGATTTATTTTTTTTTAAAAGTGAAATTATCTTTACATTAAAATTTTATTAATATTCAAAAAAAAAGGAATTAAAAAAAAAAGAAAATTTTTTTTTGCTGATAAAATTCTTTAAACCAGAATTCAAAAAAAAAAAGGCATTAATAAATCATATATTTTTGTATTTAATTAATCGGATTCTCGTAGAAATTTCTAATGTTAAACTCTCTAAAATTGAATTCAAGTTCAGAATTCTTTTGAATTGACGAATTCTGCTATTAACTGGTCGTTTCTACTAATTTAATGGTAAATTTAACTGTAAATTTAAGAAGAAGGTATTATGGCGTGAATTTTTGGAAGTGATTGAATCAAAATAAAAATAGTTTTCATAGAATTAGAGTAACAATTTTTTGTTGTTGTTTAGTTTCCGATTTAGGAATTTCAATTACTAAAGAATGTAATCACTGTACTCTTAATCAGAATAATCAAATTCAATTTTATATACATACGAATAGCACACAGCAAAATATAAGGGGTGGCGAGAGTGGCACCACCACAAACTTATAGTCTCAGTGGCATAGCTAATGTCAGACTGATTTTCTATGAGTAATATAGGTTTGATTATGACTCACCGTTGCCCAATATCCTCGACACAAATAGTGTTGACCGCGCTCACACCATATGTACTCTTGATGCCAAAGGTTCCTGGAATACATGGGAGGCATGGTGCGATTGACCAAATCTTGATCATATGGCCATGGTCTGCCCTCCCCAACATCAGGGTATCCCTTGTACCACTCGTTAAAGGGCTCGGGAAACTCAACACAGTCAATTAAGGACGGGTCGAGTAGCCATGGGCCGCAAAACATCACGCGGTTCGGCGCTCGTCCCCAGATACTGTACCTTACTGGCATCCTAAAAAGGAAAAATTTTATATATTTTAGGAATAAGTATACCGAGAAAACAAATTAATTGATTCAAACATCAAGGCTCGAGCTAGGTCCGTAAATACCGTAAAAGTCCGTAACCTTCCTTGAAGTCCGTAATTCGATTGAAAAGGATCCGTAAAATACGTATATACGATATAATTTGAACAATTTTAGAGAAATTACAAATGATTGAAGGAATTGAACATTTTCAAAAGTAATAAATTTTTTTTTATCATTTTCGAAACTTTCCTCAATTTAATGATTTCAATAGATAATTATACCATTCTAATAAAATTTTCCAGAAGAATTCAATTTTAGAAAATAATGTAATTATTCAATAAATTTTTATTTACATAATGAAATTCTCGTAGAATTTTTTTTTATGAAAATTGATTTAAAAATGGATTCCAGTTAAAATTTAGATTAGAATTGAATATTAAAAGTATTAGAGCGTAGAGTTTTAGAAATAATTTAATTTCGAATTTTCCTAAGGAAATTCCAACTGTCAAAAATTTTCTTAAACTAGTTAATTTGTATTCTAAACAATTATTGAAACTCTTAATAGGATTAAGCAGTCTTCACGGTCTATCCCTTATTTCACTAAACACACCCTATTTTGAGAATTGTCCTTAAATTTTCCTTATACTTTTCTTCGCAGGAAATTAATTATTTTTAATAATTTTAAGTAATCCCCTCTTAATTAAATTCCTACTAAAATTTCAATTATTCAAACAAAAATCTAAACGAAATTCTCTGCAACTTTCAATCATTTGGGAGATTCTCGTAATTTTAAATATTTACTATTTTCATAAAATGTGTCAACACAATTCATTATAGAGGAAACTTGTTGATACAATTCTGCGAAAGATTCAATTATTTTAGAATGATAAAATCTCATTTATGAATCCGACCACTTTTAATTGAATCATCGCAGAATTTCAAACATTTTATTTTAAATAAATTTCTTGAAAATTGCAATTATTATATTAAAAAAAAAAGAAAGAGAAGAAAATTTTTGTTATTGAATTCTCTAATATAATGAATGTCATTAAAATTTTAATTAGACTCCTTAAAAGAAATTAAATATTTTCAAAATTGTCAATGCAATTCTTCGTAAAACTTAAAATGTAAGAAATTTTTAGTTATAGTATAAACGATTTATTTAGGACTTACATGGTTGATTTTTGTGAAATTGAATTATTGTTCTTCATACTTTTAACTGGGAACTCTGTAGAATTAATTTTTCTTTGGAAATGTTTAATTGAAATTGATGTTATTAACATAATATTCTTACAATAATGAAATTATCTTTGTCAGTCGGTCATTCTTAATTGTTGTGAAACGAAGGAAGTGAGTCCACTTCTTTGTGTTTCATAATAACATTCCTATGAGTTATTCAATTTGAATTTTGAACATTTTATTAAAAAGAAAATTTAAGGAAAACTTACCTATGTGCCGGTTCTAATCCAATCAAGAGATTTTTCAGCTCCAAACAAGCTTTTAACTTGTTTAATTGGACAATAGAAAGGTCCCTCGCCTGGACATTTATGTTTTCCAGACTAGGAAAATCCGCTACCCCCACCCTTGCACTACCACTTTTGTCTTCTTCCCCTTTCAAGGCGAAGTATTTTAAAAAAAATTCTCTCCTGAGACCACCCTGTCCTTCTTCAGGAAGAGCTTTATAAATTATACAGGCCTTTAAAAAGACCTGATTCCCTGAAAGATTCATTTTCTCCTCATCATTCCCCACTTTCTTGTTCATTGTTATAAAAATTTCCCTTAATTTTTCTATCTCTAATCTCTCCATCATCATCATTAATCTGAAAACTTCCTTCTTGAAATCATCCACTTTATCATTTATTCTACTGCCGCCTTTGTTCTCTATCACTTCACTTTCACTCTTTTCCACTACAACTTTTTCACTTTCACTTCTGACTATTACTTTTTCGCTTTTCCTCTCCATTTCGAGAAGAGAGGAGAGGAGGTATTTTAAAAAAAAAAAAAGAAAAGAAAACCACACGAGGTAATAAGTTTCTCGGTTGTCGACGAACTGATCTACGGGGACCTGCGTCTGGACCTCGGCGACATCGAGCCCTTATCACGGTAAATCTATACCAAAACATAGAATCACCGTGACTAAGAACGCACTATAAGAAATACATTGTAACTTCTTATAGTGTGTTAAAAGAAAGAAAATTCTCTTTTAACGACTCTATTAAAATTCGTAAAGAGAAAGAACAAAGAAGGGCCTGTTTTCCTGAAACTCGTAAAATTACACGCACCCTAACTTCGTTTCCACCGCAGTCAGTTTTCGGGGACGAAAACGGAATATTCACGGTGGGTTGTTACGATATAACCTAACATTAACTCAAATTTAAAATTAATATTTGATTTCTTAATTTTTTTTTAATTTCAAATTAATATTAAAATCCTCTCCCCACATTTTTTTTTAAACCTATGCTCAGTTGAAAGGTGATATGTTGAGATATCACAAAGCATAAGCATACATCAGCACCGCACCGGAAACGAAGTCGGGCTATTTGAGCGTTTTTGTTATAACCAGAAATAAAAGACTAAGTTAACAAAAATTTATGATTTTCAGGAACTCATTAAAATAATATTACTATAATTTTATATATATCGTAGGGATTGCTTGCAAATATCATGAGACATTCCATAAATTTTTGGTCTGGATATCTTGGGATTTACCCTGGAGTATCCTTGGATATCCTGTATATTTTGGTGTTTAGCATTAAAGAAATTGCATGTGGATGTCTTGTGATATCCTGCATAATTTTAGTTCGGATATCTTGGGGTTACCATGGGATATCCTGGGATGTCCCGTATATTTC